ATAGTACGGGAAAGAATTTAGAAGGTTCTGGGCATTGGAATCATCAGTGAGATCCAGCGATGAGGGTTTATGGACAATGTTGTGGAATTTTTGACTTAATCTGGAAAGATGTGAATGTCTGCGGAGAAGTACATGGTGGTTCGATTTGGAATGATGAAGCAGTAGTTGACTTGCAGGTTGATCAGGAAAAGCGATGTTCCAATGAAAGGTTGAATCTCTGTATTTTCAAACCTCTTTCTCTTATTTGGTGTTCTGTTTGCTTCAGGGCAAGCAAATGCTAAGTCTGGGGGAGTTGATATATCATGGTTTTTATGGTTTTTAACCATGGTATATGTCTTATTTATAGAGTCTTTTTAGTGTCTTTTGAGTCTTTTGGAGTCTTTTCAGGTCATAGGTACGTTTGGAGCTTAACTGGAGACTTTGGAGCACTTTGGAGCTTAATCAGGATCAAATTCGTCAAGAATGAATTTTGTCCCTTAGTGACGCTCGACACCATGGAGAGTGACGCTCGACACTTGTCAGAGAAATAAGAAAAAAAGCGATTTTGTTTCCTATTTGAAGAAGGAGTTGGGCCTAAACGTTTTCAAGGAAGCCCAAGACGTGTTTTAGAGATATATATAGGATTTTCCTTTTTTACGATAACCTTAGATTTTTGAGAGAGAGATACTCTGAGTTTTCGGCTTTTGCGATTTCTGAGCTTTGGGAGACAAGTCTGAACTTTGTTCGTTTAGAGAGAAGATTTCAAACCCCTTTATCTATTTCGACTTAATCCATTGCTTTCTATTCATCATGTTTGTTGTTTCAATAACCATGTCTGAGTAGATCACCTGTTAGGTTTAGGGTTAATTAGGGTTTTCTCTGAATGTTTGATTAACTTGCTAGTTAGGGTTCATATCTATTGTTCTTCACCTTAGGTTGTTCTTAAAGCTAATTCTAGACTGATCACCTAGAACTTAGATCTTAGGTTGCTTAATTGACACGGAAGTGTAATTGAATAACTGGAAAGAATCTAGGTTGAGCAAAGTAGCAATTCGCAAAAGAATTTGGTTTAGATGCTTTGTGAACATATCGAACTTGTGCATTAAAGCTGGTTTAAATCTGTAGGATTTGCAAAGGAATTTGGAATTCTAGGATTTTAACTTAGATAATTCTCACAACGGAAGTTGGTTAATTATAATTCTGTGTTTCGAGTTCAAGAACTGTGCTTAAACCTGAACCCTGATTAGTTAAGTCGATCGGCATTCATTGATCTCCTGAAAACGCCCTAGACCTAATCATTACCACATCGAACTTACAAACCGTTTTCCTTGCTGTTTTATTTATCTCTGTCGCATTGCTATTTGTTTCGCATATTTTGGCTTAGCGTAACTCCATCTACATAAGGTTTATTGAGTGATCTCTTGTCTCTGTGGTTCGACCCCTAGATACTACAACTGCACATCTGTGCTCTTGTAGAGTAGCTTAGGGATTAAACTTTGAGCAGATCAAGTTTTGGCGCCGTTGCCGGGGACTTGATTTCACCATTAAACCTAGTTTTTGAGTTTCGACTAAGTTTTTCGACCTAGTGTCGAGCGACACCACATGCGCGACACCTTTCTTTTTATAACCTAATTTGCTTATTTCGTTTTCTCTCTTTGTTTTTGGTGTTTCAGGTTTATGCATACTCGTGGAACCAGAAGCAACAAGGACATCCCGCTAGTGAATTTGAGCAACGAAGAACTAGCTGAGTTAGAGCGAACGAACAGGAAAGCAAGAGATCCGGCAATGATGGAAAACGCCAATGGACTTGTTCGTGATGATGATGGAATCTGGAGAGACCAAGAGGGTCATGTGTGCAATGCGAGAGGCCAAAGGCTTGATGGAGATGGTAACATCATTCCACCAGCACCTTTACCAGTGGATGTTGTTGACCAGAATCCACCACCTGCACCTCGTGGTAATGCTGTGATCGTTCCAAATCAGAGGAACGCTCCAGAAGGAAGCGGAGCAGAAGGAGGCGGAGCAGAAGGAGGCGGAGCAGAAAGAGCCAAAGCAGAAAGAGCCGAAGCAGAAAGAGCCGGATATGAATGAGGAGGAGCTGAAAGAGGCGGAGCAGCTTGTAGCCCGATCTCCTTACCTGCTTAGAAGTAAAGAGGTATTGAAGTTTGAAGAGTAATATCCATTGTTTTTTGGTAATACTTTATATTTCGTGGTAACACTATGTTGTATTACTTGGTATATGTAGGTAGAATCAGACGGTGCTGACGGTGTGAACGCAGAAGTGGGTGCAGGTAAACGGAAACAAGAGCAATCGAAGCTAGGGCCAAACACAAAGCAGAGACGTTAAGTCTCCTATGACATTTGAAATATGTACTTCTATTTCTATTATTGATTATGGATTATTGAAAACCAAATATTGGGAAAACTTGGTATTATTGGTGAAACCACATATAAAGCTGGGAACAAAGTATTATTAGGTGTAACCATTTTAGTATTATTTGGTGTAACCTAGTATTAGGTGTAACCATCGTAGTATTATTTGGTGTAACCACTTATATATGTGGAATACTAGGCCTAAACAGTTCGAGTTAAAATTAGTAGAATAATGTTTGTACACAACATAAGGACAACATAAGGGAGTACTAAACATAACGAAATGTGCACATACGGAATCCAGAACATAAGAAAGTACAAAAAAAAAACATAAGACAGAAAACATCAGACACATTCACCAGTCTCCCATATCAGGAAAAACCCTAACTACCCGGTACACATATAGGAAGAACCTTCCGCATTCGCGAGTTAAAAAGCAGTAGTCGCAGATGTTCCCTGGTTTATACTCATCATTCCACCAACGCTCCCATCGGTTAACTGTACCGCACGGACAGTGGATAAGAGTATTGAGGCGCGGTAAAAAGCGATGGTGGCCTTCATTGAATATCTCTGGCAAACTCATTGGCCAACCAAGATATACTTGTGCAACGAGGTCGCGGGTGCACTTCCTTATTGTTTCCCGGCTTAGTTTGTTGAGGTACTCATCACCCTCCGGATGTTCCATAACAAGTTTCATGAACATCCCGTAGACATATACTGCACGCGTGTACCCTCTATCCGCTGCTTCCTTGATCAGTAGAATCCCTCCAAAATCTTTTCGATGAAAAAAGAGTTGCATACCTCGCATGAAAATCATGTCTGGATTTCGTGCATCATAGAACTCTCTGAAGACATCGATGATGAGATGGACATCTTGATCCTCTGGATGCCCCATATTAAAGGGGTCAACTTCAGCGTAGAAGCCAGGGCCTCTGGTGCAGTCGTTGAACCTATGACAAATCTAGCGAATCCGTATAAGGTCACCAATTGTGTTAGCTGACTTCGCTAGAACCTTTTCCAGTGGTTCATCTGGTAGGACTAGTAGGTAAGAGTACTCTGCCATGGATTTATATATGAAAGTGGTGGAGGCCGATTTTTGTGGAAAAAAGTTCTGAAACCCTAAGAGAAAATGATGGATTGTAATATAAAAGAAAAATCTGAGAGGAACCCTAAGAGAGAGGAGGAAGGAAAAAGTGATGGATTTGGGAAAGTAATGAAGAAGTAGAATGGATTTTGGAACTTCTTTGCGAACTTAAATAGAGAAAAAGAAAATGGAGGAAGTGAAAGGATGTGAGTAGTCTCTCAGTAGTCACGTCGAATAAACACAACCGTATGAGAGAGAGAGGAATATCGGAATAACTGCTACTCTCGTAAATGCGTTATTAAAAATATACATTGGGACTCTTATATTTTAGAGAGAGTTATTAATTTATAATGAAATTAATTGAACCAAAACATAAATAATTTCTCCGAAGATAAATTATCAAATTACCATAAGTATCAAGGTTCTGAGGAAAAACAATAGGAGATTACATATATGAATTGTTAAAAAAAAAAAAAAGGCTTCATTTAAATTTCGATGCCATTTCAGACTTCTTCCTCTTTATATTCTTCATCTCTCCCTTTAAACAGAAACGTAGAAAATTTCATTTATGTTTAAAAATCATATAGCCTAAATTTGTATTCACTATTATTACTTAATAATGAGTTTTGTCTACAATTAAAATTTAAAAAACCAAACAACATCAACTGATTATTTCCAGTCATATAGATTTGAACTTATTTTATATTTGTCATGACCAAAACAAATGACTAATTACTTACCCATTCGGATGTGTCCATGTTTTGGATTTCTCTCTCCACGAATCTGCAATGCATGCACTTCAATCCTATCTCCAGATCCAGAATCAATTCGTGTTCCGGTTTTGTACAACGTTTGTGGGGAGGCTTATGGACTGAGATGTCTTTGTCCTTCTCCTTAACAAAAAAATAGATATAAATTTTCACTCATGATCAGGACATATTTATAAACCATTAAATAGAGATAATATATTACCTTTGGCAGATTTTGCTTGAATTGTTCCCACAGCTCTGCTTGCTCGATCTCAGAATCAGTTGGCGAAGGTGGCAACTTAGGTTCCACCACACCAAATCTCATGTTCAAAGGTGGTGGGTTGATGATCAGCAGACCATTCTCATCATATTTTTTTCCATCTGATTTCTCCATTTTGTTGACGACTTGAAGAATTCTAGAACTACAATATCTCAAGTGTCTTTTTATAGAGTGGGCAATACTATTCAGTTTTTTCAAATTTCTAGTTTTGTGGGGAAGACTACTAATATGTTTAGTGTATAGACAATGTTCCCTGGATGATATTTGTCTACTCAGCATTTACTTACGTTAGAGGATTGCCGTAAGACTGGTACAACTACCAACACTTTATTTGATTTTTACATTAAGTAAATAAATATTTTCCGGTTTATTAGGGGAGAGAAAGAAGATGTGACTTTTAACTGCTCCGCACGATAATGTTAAACGGTTATGAAGGGTATTTATTATATGAGTCGCTCTCTTTCTTACTCATATCTATCTTCTAAATCCTCTTCTCTCTATTTAGTGCTATCGTTTCTCTCTTTATCACTTCAAAATGGCCCCTAAGGCGTGGATCATGACTCATCTGAGGGAGTTGGTGCGGTTTCCGGCGAGTGGGTTCAGTGCAGGTCCCGTGGCGGAAGACATTTACGAATGGCAAGCAACGCTGTTGGGCCCCCCTAGTAGTCCATACGAAGGGGGAATCTTCTTCATCTCCATCCGTTTCCCATCGGATTACCCCTTCAAGCCACCAATGGTGTTGTGGAAGACGCCGATTCTGCACCCCAACATCGACCAATCTCGGGTCTTCCATCCGCTACTCGTCACCGCTACATGGAAGGTTGGAACGACGGTCAAGGAACTCCTCCAAGCGCTCCATGACATGCTGCTTCACCCTAAGGTCGAGGAGGAAGAGGACAACTACATCGCAGACGTCGCACGCATGTGCGTCTTGGAACCGGAGCGGTTCAAGAAGGAGGCCCGCCTGATGACCGAGCAACACGCCATGAATTAATTCCCATTAATTCATGGTGTTTTTCACAATAAAATAATGAATTTTATGTTTAAATATATTCTGTTATCAAATATTTATTATTTAAAAATTATGACTGTAATATATTTATTAACAAAAAAATTATTAGTAAAATTCCTTGTGTTATTCTATCCACTATATTATCTTAGTCGATACATAAGGAATCCCTAATAAGGAAACCCTAATACTCGGTATAATTGAAAATTTGTAATACTCGGTATCACTTGGTGTAACCACATGTTTTTGGGATAATTGAAAATTTGTAATACTCGGTATCACTTGGTGTAACCACATGTTTTTGGGATAACTGAAAATTTGAAATACTCGGTATCACTTGGTGTAACCACATGTTTTTGGGATAATTGAAAATTTGTAATACTCGGTACCACTTGGTGTAACCACATGTTTTTGGGATATTTGAGAATTTGTAATACTCAGTATTACTTGGTGTAACCACATGTTTTTGGGATATTTGAGAATTTGTAATACTCAGTATTACTTGGTGTAACCATATGTTTTTGGGATAACTGAGAATTTGTAATACTCGGTATTACTTGGTGTAACCACATGTTATCGGATAATCGAAAATATGTAATACTCGGTATCATCATGTAATCCCGAAAATCAAAAATATGTATCACTTGGTGTAACCACATGTTTTTGGAAAATTGAGTAAGTCTTGAGTACAACCATGAATCGTAACTACTTGAACAGGTAGATAGTTAAAGAAACAGAGGCCACAGCAAGAACAGATAGAACAACTGTGTCCTTAACTTCCTTAAATATCTTAGTTCGCCGCGTCTGTTCCAATTCCCTATCCATTTCCTTCAAAACCAAGTCACAAACCATCTCATAAAGGAGAGCATGAGACCTCCTTGCCTCAACCATTTCCTCCTTCAGGTTGATTACCGATTCCTGTAGCTGAGAAATTTCCGTCGAGTGAATCCGGTTCATGGTTCTAGTCCAACTACTCCGGCCCTGCATCTCAGTCAAATCATGCCGAACATCTGCAATCTCTTCTAGCATCGCCTCATCACATCACTTGAAGAGATGACATCCGGGATTCTACAAGACACAAACCGTATAAATATTTTTGGTACGAAATTAAAAGCAATCAACAGCTGAACTTACATATTCCTTATTGCAAGCGAAGAATCTTCTTCCCGGATCCAAAACGGTGTGGGAAGTTTTGATGATTGGTTTACGATGACAATAACAGAATCGCGGGATTCGAGAATCTTCGTACAATTCAGGTTGAGGGCTCCCGCTTGAAATGTCCGAGTCGGACGACGAGCCGAGACTTGGCATTCTTGCAACAAAATGTTGTTTTGCAAACAAGTGAGTGTTTTGTGTTTTGGTTGTGATTTGTGCGTAAACCCATATATTTTAATGAATTTTGATGTTTGGGGGGAAACTCAAATTTGGAAATGTCTGTTTTGGGGTGGGGGGAAACTCAAAATTGGAAATGTTTGAGGTTTTGGGGGCGGGGAAAACAAATTTGAGTTTCGTGGATAAACCCAGGAAATAATAAATAATTGTAGTGGGGTCTATTTGTTACCCAATAAGACACGTGTTCAAATGAAAACACATGTCTCGTTTATTGCAACTGGGAATTTTAAACGTAGTTGTGCTTTGTTTTCTAGTTATACACATCGTCCACATAATGTTACTTTTGGTGGATATACCGTATTCGCAGTAATACTGAAATGTCATGAATATATTCCGGTAATACGTTTCATAATTGGTTATAACAGCAAATTATCAACTTGTTTATCAAACAAAATTCGAGGAAAAGTATGATATGTATTCTTTCCATCATTGATGGACTAAGCTTGACAATGTCACTATAGAAGGAGATTGCCTTAAGTGTCGGGTGTGGTGAGATTCATATTATTTTTTCATTATTCTTAATAGTTTAAAACACTCTTGACTTGTCCCTGTTAGTGTTAGCATGAAAACGACCATTTTTTTTAAATACTGATTCTTATCGTGGTCGTATTTTGCAATCTCCAAATTATGAAATCGGTTGAAATTGGTATATTGGTGGTTAAGGGTTGGTGAACTTCTTCAAAACGACGTCACCTGGAAACATGTCTCTTTTAATCTTATTTTCTATTATTATAATAATATTCTATCTGACACATGATCACCTTTCTCTTCTTCCGACGAACATTCCATCGTATTTTTAACTTTTACACGACATTCTCTGACCTAAAAGTACTACTTTCACTTTTCTTTTTCACAATTTTTTCGCTTTTGCTTCTCCACCCCAGTTCACAATTATTTGTGGTCGACAGAACAACAAATGAGTATAACTAGAGCGTAGTTATACTCATCAACAAATGACAGAACAACAATTATTTGTTTAACGTCGTTGTACTAATAATTCTAGTTACTCATCATCCACGTAGTTTTTTCTTCTTTATCTCCCTTTTAATTTGTTTTTACAAAGTTATACGAGTAATACTTAAATAAAACAAAAACAAAATTTCACTCTGATGGATCAAGTTGGGCACTCTTTCACGAAGCTATTTCTAATATCCCACTGGAATTTTGCCGCCTCCAGTGTCCAGTGGCAAGAATCGCACCAATCGGGGGGCACGTCTGCATATCCCATCATTATTATAACTAGGTGAATGTCTCCACTTCCACAATGCCAGTTATTTATTTTGTCCACCACCAATGTAATCCTCTCTCCAAACTGTGCTGGAGTGAAATATGGGGGTCCTTTAGGGCTTGCTCTTTGAATTCGTAACCGCATATCTTCTGATTCCGCCCGTGTAAAATCTGGGGCAGATGTTAAGCTCACGTCGCATCCAGACATGATGAGAACAAGCATTTGGTGGCAATATTTTGCCAACGAGAATCCCGCTTCCGATGACGCCTTAAGCATTGCCACCCCTGCCTCTATATCATGGTCATAGAAAAAATTGAAAGACCTCTTTAAAATAGAGCCGTAGGATTACCTTCTGCCAAACATCTGTCCTTGAACATTCTCATCCATGCCATATCAAAGAACCAAGGTGTGGGCATGCTTAGCAAATCCACGGTCCGAAGGAAGATTCGATCCTTGGAGATCTGGTATAAATCCCTACTTGCCACTAAAGCCCTACAGTAATCGCGAGTGCTAGAAATGACTACCTTCTTTAGTATTTCGTTTTTCATCTCTATGGGCAAATCAGAAAATCCGCTTTGCCTAGCCATTGTATATGAATGAGATTGTGTTTCAGAAACTCTTTGGGTCCACGTTAAATAACAATCCGCTTTATCACGTTTGGGGGAAACGATACGTCGTTTGAAGATATTGACCGCATTAACTCAAACCAGACGTCGTTTGAAGATATTGACCGCATCAAGTATTTCCGAGTAATACCACCACAACATAAACCCTAAATCCAAATATGAATATGGTTGTACTAAGTATTTCCGAGTAATACAATCACAACATAAAACCTAAATCCAAAGATGGTTGTACTAAGTATTTCCGAGTAATACAATCCCAACATATCTCTCCATTTTCCAAACTAAACCACGTTATCACCCGAGACACCTCCTCCAGCATTTCCACTTCCAGTATTTTCACCTCCAGCGTTTTCACTTCCAGAGTTTTCACCTCCAGTAAAATAGCTATAAATTTTGTAAGATTCCGGCCGACGCTTATTACTCGTCTTCGTCCTCTTCGACTTCGGTCGACGCTCTCCAACGGATGGATGCCTTTTTTGCTGTTTTGCCCCCCTTTTTGGCTCGTAAACCGGGGGCAAAGCACTCAATTTCTTAACATCATCGGGGACAACCCACTGTGACTTATGTGGAACAGGATAGATGGTTCTGTTATAAGCAAAAGCCCACTGCTCGGTTAAATAATACATCGAACACAAGTCCTCCATGTTTATATCCACTTCTCTGTCTGGCCGCTTCGTGTAAGCTTCTAATGCGGCTAATGCATGGACACATGGATACTTGTCTATATCAAAAAGCTTGCACGAGCAAGTTTTATTTTTCAAGCTCACCGTGTAATTAATCTCATTTAATCCAAGCACGCTGTATTCAATCTGAATCATGTTTAACTTGGTGACACCTAGCTTCTTAGATTCAGCACATCTACTGTGAAAAATATTTTCCACAAAGGCAACCAGTTTGCGTCCTGGTGGCGTTGAAGCAGCCTCATTCCTATATGCTTGTTAAACCATTCACACAACTTGTCAACAATCACATCTATCATAGGTAATAATGGCAGCTTCCTTGCATCTTTAAACACATTATTCAAGGACTCCACACCGTTACTAGTATCTAGATTGTACCTCTCTGCTGGAAAATAGCACTTGGCCCATTTTGATACTTCTACACGCCTTTTTAGATAATCGGTCACAGCAGGATACTTTAATGCCATCCTCGAATAATGATCAAGAAACTCGGCCTTTGTGTACTGCTTTGCGCACTCCATGAATGTATCTGCAACTATTTCTCTATCCCTTGAAACTTGCATTTTCACATTCTGTGAAAGATGCCAAGTGCAATACCCATGTTTAGCTTCCGTGTACACCTCAGCTACTGCGTTAATGAGGCCTAAATTTCTGTCCGACACAATAACCAACTCAGGATTATCGGGTATAACCATTTTGAACTGCCTGAAATACCACTCCCAACTGTCATTTTTTTCTGAATCAATAACTCCAAAAGCAATCGGATAATGGTGATGATTACCATCCTGACAAGCAGCTAAGACTAGCTGACAACCCATTCCGGCTTTCAAAAAAGTTGCATCAACAACTACCACTTTTCTCATAGCTACAAACCCCTCAACGCAAGCTCCCAAAGCGACAAATAAGTACTTGAATCTTCCTTGTTCGTCCAGTAACACCTTGTGTTTTGTTCCTGGATTCACCTTCTGTAGCATGTACAAATACGAGTACAGATCTCTATAGCTGTCTGCAGGATAGCCACGAACCAGAGATTTAGCTTGCTGTACTCATCTCCATGTG